TGTAATATTTCTATTTTGAAATTTTATTTATTTTTAAAGATTTTATGTATTTATTCATGAGAGAGAGAGAGAGAGAGAGAGAGAGAGAGAGAGGCAGAGACATAGGCAGAGGGAGAAGCAGGCACCATGCAAGGATCCCGATGTGGGACTTGATCCTGGGACTCCGGGATCACGCCCTGAACCGAAGACAGACGCTCAACCACTGAGCCGCCCAGGCGTCCCTCCATGTTAATTTTAGAAAGAGTTTATCTATGTCTACAAAAGACCTTGCTTTTATTTCCTTCTACTTGGTTTGGGTTAATTTTTTCTCTTCTAGTTTCTTTTTTTTTAATTTTTATTTATTTATGATAGTCATACACACACACAGAGAGAGAGAGAGAGAGAGAGAGAGAGAGAGAGAGGCAGAGACATAGGCAGAGGGAGAAGCAGGCTCCATGCACTGGGAGCCTGACGTGGGACTCCCTCCCGGGTCTCCAGGATCGTGCCCTGGGCCAAAAGCAGGCACTAAACCGCTGCGCCACCCAGGGACCCCTCTCTTCTAGTTTCTTGAGGTAGGAACTTAAAATAGTGACTTGAGACCTTTCCTGATTTCTAATGTAAGCAATTTAGTGTTATAAAGTTCTCTTAACACTGTTTTAAATGCATCAGACATATTTTGTTAAGTTATTGTAAAGGCAACTTACACTCTTCCCCTTGTATTTCTCCTTTATTATTCACACAGAACATCTCAGTATACTTCTGACACCAGATATGTGAGAGTTCCCACACACACACACACACATCAAGCAATTTTGCAACACTAGCTGAATGTCCTACAATTTAACTAAATTCTAATGCTATCTACCCAAAGATAGCATCAGATCCCACAGACTAAGGGCTCAGTCCCAACAGACTCCCCACTTCCCACCCATGCCAATCACAAGCCCCATGTAATATTGGGACACCTGGATGGCTCAAAGATTGAGCGTCTGCCTCTGGCTCAGGGCATGATCCTGGGTCCTGGGACTGAGTCCTGCTCATGCTGTGATCCCAAGATCCAGGATTGAGTCCTGCATCACGATCCCTGCAAGAGCCTGCTTCTCCCTCTGCCTATGTCTCTGCCTCTCTCTGTGTGTCTTTTTTTTTTTTTAAGATTTTATTTATTTATTCATGAAAGACACACAGAGAGAAGCAGAGACACAGGCAGAGGGAGAAACAGGCTCCATGCAGGGAGCCCAATGTGGGACTCGATCCCGGGACTCCAGGATCACGCCCTGGGCCAAAGGCAGGCGCTAAACCGCTGAGCCACCCAGGGATCCCCTCTCTGTGTGTCTCTTATGAATAAATAAATGAAATCTTTTAAAAATAATAAAATTAACAGGGAAAAGCATAGGCTCAAAAATAGCTAAAATAATTTTGACAAAAAAAGAATAAAGTGGGCGAAATTACCCAATGTAAGTACTTACTCTACTGGTACAAGGCAATGTATAAATGACACGTAATCAAGGCCATGAAGCATAGACAAAGGGATATAAACATCGGTCAGAGGAACAAAAGAGAATCCAGAAGTAAGCCCACATAAATATGCTCAACTAATTTTTTACTTATTATTATTATTATTATTAATTATTATTTTGAGAGAGAGAATGTGCGTAAGTGCAAATGGGGCAGGGGCAGAGGGAGAGAGAGAGAGAGAAAGAATCCTAAGCAGGCTCCATGTCCAGCATGGAGCCCATGCTGGGCCTGATCCCCACAACCCTGAGATCATGACCTGAATTGGAATCAAGAATGGGACATATAACTGACTGAGCCACCCAGACACCCCTCAGCCATTTTCTAACAATTGTATTGAGATATAATTCACATACCATGCAATTTTCCTATTCAAAGTGTACAATTTAACATTTTTTTAGTATATTCATAGGGTTGTGTAGCTCACCACAGTCTAACTGTAAAATGCTTGTTGCCACAAAAAGATATTCTGTATCCATTAGTGGTCATTCTTTATCTACTCCCTTCAGCCCTAACCAACCACTAAAATGCTTTATGTCTCTGTGAATTTGCTTATTCTCTTTCACATAAAGAGACTCATACAATACACAGTCCTTTGTTACTGGCTCCTCTCACATAATGTTTTCAAGGTTCATCCATGTAGAATGTATATTGGCACTTCCTTATTCTTATCACTTATGGCTGAATAATATGGGTACTTGGGCTGTTTCCACTCTTTAGCTACTATGAATAATGTTGCTATGAACATTTGTCTACTAACTTTTGCATGTATGGATGTTTTTGTTTTTCTTAGGTATATACATAGGACTGAAATCTCTGGGATCATATGGTAACTCTATGTTTAACTTTTTGAGGAATTTCTAGAACATTTTCCAAAGTAGCTGCATCATTTTAACTTCCCACCAGCAATGTTATGAGGGTTAAATTTTTCACATCCTTGCCCATATTTGTTATCTAACTTTAATTTTAGCCATCCAAGTGAATGTGAAGTCGTATGCCAATGTGGTTTTGATATGTATTTCCCAAGGGCTATGAATGTTGAGCACTTTTTTAAAAAATTTTTATTTATTTATGATAGTCACACAGAGAGAGAGAGAGAGGGAGAAGCAGGCTCCACGCACCAGAAGCCCAACGTGGGATTCGATCCCCGGTCTCCAGGATCGCGCCCTGGGCCAAAGGCAGGTGTCAAACCGCTGCGCCACCCAGGGAACCCTGTTGAGCACTTTTTTATGTACTTATGGAGCTTCTTTGTCTATCTTCTTTGGAGAAATGTTTATTCAAGTCCTTTGCGGATTTTTAAACTGTTATTTGTGTTTGTGTTATCTGTAAGTGTTCTTTACATATTATGGATACAAATCCTTGTTAGATATCTGAACTAATTCTTTTCTTTTCTTTCTTTTCTTTTCAGACAGAGAGAAACCAGAGGAGGAGGGGCAGAGGGAGAGGGAGAGAGAATCTTAAGCAGGCTCCACGTCTAGTGTGGAGTCCCATGCGAGGCTCCATCTCACAATCCTGAGATCATGACCTCAGCTGAGATCAAGAGTTGGACACTTAAACGAATGAGCCACTCAGGTGCCCTGAACTGATTTTTGACAAAGGTACAAAAGCAATTTAATGGAGGAAGGATAGCCTTTCCAACAAATAGTGCTGGAGCCATTAGACATCCATAGCCAGGGATCCCTGGGTGGCGCAGCGGTTTGGCGCCTGCCTTTGGCCCAGGGCGCGATCCTGGAGACCCGGGATCGAATCCCACGTCGGGCTCCCGGTGCATGGAGCCTGCTTCTCCCTCTGCCTGTGTCTCTGCCTCTCTCTCTCTCTCTGTGACTATCATAAATAAATAAAAAAAAAAGATAAAAAAAAAAGAGAGAGAACTTTAACCTCATGCTTCTTAAAAAATTAGATTTATTTTTTTAAATTAGATTTAAATTTGCTCCAGTAATCACCAATGAAAAAATAAATATATTGCATCTTCATTGTGACAATTAAAGGCAAAATAAGTAGGTCCTTCGATCTCTCAGTAGTCTATATTTATTTCTACTTCTGAAGATTGTGTGATTAGATTAGGACATTAAACTTAGTTGCTGGGGAGACATCTGTTGATTACCGTTTGAAATTAATGTATTTCTTATATCAAAATAAATTTGATTTACTTAGTGACTACTGTCAAGCTTTGTAGAGGGTTTTTCCAACAGAAGAAACCTAAAAGATAATGGCTGGAATGAAAACTGTTACCACAAATTTTCCGGATAAATATACCCTATCTCTGGGGCACCTGGGTGGCTCAGTGATTGGGTGTCTGCCTTCAGCTCAGGTCCTGATTCGGGGGGTCCTGGGACCCAGTCCCACCTCGTGCTCCCTGCTTCTTCCTCTGTCTCTGCTTCTCTCTCTGTGTCTCTCATGAATAAATAAAATTTAAAAAACTTAAAAAAAAAAAGATACTCTACCTTTATACATTTGTGAAATGTGGAAAAGGCTGCAAAAACCTGGAAGTTTACTGATACGTCTTAACTTACATAAGGTTTGTCTCTACGGTCTGAAAAAGCAATGAGGAAGATAATCAGAATTTCAAAATTCAAACACAAAACCGACTACATTTTCGTTGACTGTGTTCCTTTTACCTTTTACACTGGAACGTTTTTCCAATATTGCTGTCTTAGTGCAACTGTAACAGCTTTGTTCCTCCTTTAAAAAACACAGAACTCAAGTATTTGGAGATATTGCTTCATCACCGCACAATTTTTATTACGTTGTATGATTTTCAAACCTATAGATGTACTGTTAATCATACTCTACTCATAGCCATATTGTTTATAGTCAACGTTTTATTACTATAATTGTTTCAAATATCTTCTGAGTCTGTAGTTGCATTTTTAAAATTTCCTCAGTTTAAAAGTTCCCATCTCCTATGCTTTTTGTCATCGTGCCTCTGGCGAGACGAGTTGCATGGAAGCACATAAAGGCATAACCCAATTTCGGCAGGGTTGAAACATTATTAGGAGTTAATGAAATATTTCAAAGACAGGTTGAGATACAGGAACAATAGGGTAGGTAGAACGGAAAGTATGACCCATAAACTGCTATTTTTCTTTAAACACGTATCATTTCCAGGTATATATCTTTTCTATTTTTTTTCCTTTTCTATTTAATTTCTCCTGAATTAAAATGTCAGCCTGAGAATGGAGAGTCCTTATTGCGTGTTCAAGTGTGTCCCCAGAGCCTCTAACAGTGCCTGGCATACAGTAAGCGCCCAATAAGTGGAGGAAAGACGCTGAGGAAAGAGCGTTAAGATCCCCGGCACGCGATGCTCTGACCCACTCGCACACCTTCCAGAGGCCCCGCCCCCTGCAGCAGGGGATCGGGACGCTAGCGCAGAGTAGCCAGCTCCACTCCTGCATCCCTTCCAGCCCAGCCCGCGCAACCCCGCCCACCGTGCCTGCGCAGCTCCCCCCACCTTGCCCATTGCGCCTGCGCATCCCCGCCCCGCTCTGCACGCGTGTCCGGCGCGTACCCCGGCTTGAGCGCCTACCGGGACCGGCCCGCTGCGCCTGCGTGCTCCGAGCCGTCCCGTCCAAGCCTGGGTGGGACTCGGTCGGCTGGACGGGGCTGACGCAGCCCTGGTTCTGAAGTGGGAGCTCCCGGGCTGGGGGAACGCGCCACACGACTGCGGGCGGGAGCAGGAACCACCGGCTGGGTCCGCGCCTCCGAAGGGCCGTCCCAGGATGCCCCGCGCTGCGCCCGGCCTGGACTCCATTTCCCAGCGGCCCCTGCGGCCGGCCCCGCTGCCCGCCCGAGCGCCGCGGCGCCTTTGTGAGCCCGCCGGTGAGGCCAAGAGCGAGGCCCCGCCCCGGCCCTCGGGGCGTTGGGCTCCTGGAGGCAACGGCGCTGCGGGAGTTGCCAACCCGCAGGGAGGAGGCGGTGAGCACGCTGCGGGCGGGCGTGAGCCCTGGCGGGCCTGAGGAAAAAGAGCGGATGTGCGAAGGGGCCTATGACCCTGGGAGAGGGTGTCACTGTGTATGAGCCCCTGTGACCCCCTTGTCACCGTGTCCGTGCTTCTGTGTGTGACACCGTGTCACCGTGTGTGTGTTCTTGTGTGACACCGTGTATATGCCGTGTGTGTCACCGTGTGCGTGCCCCTGTGACTGTGCGAACGTCTGAGAATATGACAGCGGCGGTGAGTGTGTGGCTGTAAGGTCGTGAGACCGCGTGAGGTTGTGTGACATTATGTTCTGTGACAGTGCGACCCACTGTGAGGTGATGGATGCCAGCTCCAGGATTGTGTGGCTCCTGCAGTGAGCGGGCGACATGCTGGGTGCCTGGGGAGACTGTCGTTGAGGAGAGCCTGGGAGGGGCTGAGATGATGGAGAACACCTGAGTGGGAAGGAGAGGGGAGCCGCCGCCCCAGCTCTGGAGCACAGCAGACGAGGCTGCAGGACTTTAGCCCTCCATGGCACAGAAGGAAGGTCTTTCCCTCCCTCTCCTAGGTTCTGCCCTATGTGAGGAATTGAAGAGGAAGAAGAGAGGCCTGCCGTGTGCTATTTATGAACATAAACACATGACTGGTGTTTACTGAGCCCAAAGGATGTGCTAAGCACTATGCTAAATGCTTCATATGAATCATCTCAGGATCCTCCCAACCATTAATAGGGAATGGGTACCATTTCACAGATGAGGAAACTGAGGATTGGAGCGGTTATCTAAATCATGGAGGTTGCAGAGCTAGTGAGTGGTAGACAGGGTATCTGAGGGCAGGTGTTCTGATCCTAAGAACCTAGTGGTTCTTACCATTATGCTGCTTCGGCCTTACTCTCCAAGGCAGAGAGGTTTAGTGGAAAATAACTCATGATTAGGGGTTTCTGTGACTGTTAATGCATAGTCCCCTCCCTCATCTCTTTTTGAGGAAATTGCTCAGAAAAGTTAAGAGATTGGTTTACAGGTGCAGTTTGTCATAAATCAGGACTGCAAGCAGAGCGTTCTCTTTTGCTCAGTGTCCTTCAGACCACAGGACCCCACTGATGCCTACCCTGTGTAAAGATGTTTTTTCTGAGGCATTGTTTGTAGCTTTATCTTGTTTTGTAGTAAGGGTGGTAACATATTCTCTTTTACCATCATTATTTGGTGGGAAGACTATAAAAAGTCAGATCTAGATTCCAGTTGGACTCATTTATTACCACAAAACCTCGGAAAATTTCAATAATGTCATTGATAGGCAACTTTCATGTGTGAAGGGGGGAAATAATCCTTACGTGATAGTACCATTTATGGTTTCTTCCTCTCTCCAGGTCTATTTTTCCAGACACCGCCTTTCCAGTGAGGAGCCTGAAGTAGGAAGGCAGAGGAAGTCATAAATTCTTAAATTCTTAAAGCCATGTCCAAGGTAAAGAAAGATTTCTTCTCCCTGAGGTGCTTTGTTTTTTAGGTTTCATAAGAACATCTTGCTTTTCTTCTGAAATTCCCCAGCTAACAAAGCCCCATTCAAGTGACTTTATCTCATATTCTCCCAGTCCAATAAAGGAGGTTCCCCAAAGCCCAGCGAGCTTTTTTTCCTCAACCAGCATTTTCATCTTCATTCAAGAAATAGCACTCCTACAGGTTAGGTTTTCTGTCAGGAGCTCTCAGGAGGCAAAAATGCACTCCTTAGTGGGATATGATAGCCTTCAACGTAAGGGATTTGATTTATTGAGGTCACGGTGTATTCTGATGTGACCATTAGCTTAGAGCTTCTTCACAGACTTAAGTTTGGGAGGAAGGCAAGACAAGGGCTATTGGACAGTCCTGGTCAGAGCACATGACAAGATCCTTTGCTCAAGGTGATCTTGAAGAAGAGTATGTGTTGAGTTTTGAGTATTAAAGTGAGGGTTAGCTAGGGCACGGATTTTTTTCCAAGATACTCTGGGTTTTGAAGAATAGGGATCCATGGGAGTAATAAGGTCCTGTCATAGGGACATTCTGAATTAATAGTAGGCTACAGCTAGCATATTCTAGGTTATCCAGCTAAGATTAGTGGAATTACTTATGGAAAAATAGGACATTTTCTGAAAAAACAAGAGAGTACTTGAATCTACATTTTTAAATGGTGGCATACACATACATCTATAATGAAAACAATACAAAAAAAAAAGTACATAGTATGGAATGGGAGGCAGAAGAAACAAATGAAGAGATCAATATAAAGTGTCCAGAAACAAATACAAATATAAATAAGAATGGAATATATTTATTCATTGACTGAACATAGAGTTATTAAAGACTTATTATATACTAAATGCAGACAGTACTGTGGTAAATGAAAACAGACAATGTCTTTGTTTTCATGTAGTTTAATGTCTACTAATTTATTATATGATGTGATAGTATTTCAGATCAGTGGAGACAGAATGGATTATTCATTTAGAAAACACACATTGAGTTAAATATATTCTGTAGGTTAAATGTAAAAAATAAAACCATATGAACTGTTGGATGAAAATATAGAGAATGGCTGTAAAGAGGAAGATGAACCAGAAGCAGAAAACCACTAGAGCAGCTCTGTCCAGTAGAACTTCCTGTGATGATTGATGATAGAAACGTTCTATATCTGCACTGTCCAATACAGTAGCTACCTGTGGCTGCGGAACACTTGGATATACTAGTGTGACTGAGGAACTGAATCGTTAATATTTGATTTATATTTAAATAGCCACATGTGACTAGTAGCTAGTGTATTGGGCAGCACAGATCTAGGCTAATAAAATAAGAGCCAGGAAGATAGTGGTCAGTGATCTTGTCCATGTCACTCATTTTATAGATGAGGAAAAACAGGCCTGTGAGGAAAAGGACATGCCTATGTCACCAGTTAGTGATTATATCAGATACAGGAAGTTGTAATATGTGTTGAGGGTCAGTATAAATAGATGATGGTGAATGATAATTTGAAGAGGGTGGTAGAAAGTAATGAAGGACTGTGGAACAGTGATGAGTTTCCCTTTGCCTGGAACCTCATTGGCTTCTCATTTTACTAGGAATGAAATCCAGTGTCCTCTCCACAGTTTGTAAGGCCCTTGTATGATCAGCTCCTGGCTACCCTACTCCTGAACCCATTTCTCCAAGTCTTTACCTTTCTGTGTTCCAGTCACACTGGTCAATTGTTCCTCAAACTTACCAAGCTCTTTCCTATCTCTGAACCTTTGCATTTGGTCCTCCCTCTTCTGTAATTCTCTTCCCTTAGATATTGGCATGGTTTACTCTCTCACTTTTGGATTGTTGTTTAAATATTACTACTTCATTGAGGTTTACCGTGGCCATCTTATCTAAAACAAACAACTCTGTCACTCTAAATCACCTTACTTTGTTTTTTGTCCTAGTGTTTAACACTACCTGACATTGTATACCTGATGTTTAATGTCTTTCTACTTTGTTAGAATATTAACTCCACAAGCAGAGGGACTGTATTTTGTTCAACTCTATGTTCCCAAAGCTTGGAGCATTGTAAGTACTAGGCATTCAGCAAATCTTTGTCAAATTAATATATAAATGAACAAGATTGTGAATTCCTCATCTATGAGTGAGACCAGAGAGAGAAGAGCCCTACCCCTTTTCTCCTGCTGCTAAATTGGTAATGGAAAAAGCAGAAAGCAGAGGTATAGATGTATATAGATGTATTCAATGTATAGAATAGACAGAGCCCATCAGTCCAAATGGTATTTCTGGGACCCCACCCCAAACCTTCTGAATCTCTGATGGTAGGCCCCAGGAAACTGCATTTTTATTAAATCCAAGTATGCTTTTAAAGCAGATTTTTTGAAAGCCTCTTGTTTCTAAAGATTATATTTAAAGTGCACTTCTTAAAAACAGCACTTTGTTGGTTGTCAGCTGTGTGCCTGTCATAATCTCTATGCTTGCCATGATTCTCTATACTCCTAGCAAGGCACTTGAGTGGCCTGTGTACGTACCTTCCATGATTCCCTGTGCCTCCCAAAATCCCACGTCTCCTTCAAACATTGATTTTTTTAAGAAATCCAGTCTAAGAATCTTTGTCTTTTAATTAGTGCCTGGTACATTTAATGTAATTACTGAATATTTGTGTTTAAGTCTATAATATTGCAGTTTGTTTTCTACTTATTCCATCATTCTTTGTTCCTTTATTTCTTCTTCTTTGCTTTCTTTTGGTTAAATCAAGTACTTTCTCCTTATTATCTTGTTAATTATACATTATTATTCTTTTAGTTACCATTATAGGATATTTACCTGTTTCTCATTATGTAATTATCTTCTCTCTTCCTTCTGTAATCTTCCCTCTATAATTAGCATTCTTACCACTTTCTGAGCAAGATGGGACCCCTATAGTCTTACTGTCAACTCCAATTTATTATTAGTAGTAGATATTATATTTATAGTTATTCCTTTGGGGCTCTTGATTTCATATTGATTTCATTTCCATTTTCTTCCAGTTTCCTTTTACTTGTAAAACAATTAGTATTTCTTTGAGGGCAGGTCAACACTTTTTTCCCAGCGTGAACAAACTTTTCATTAGCTCCTATTCTTGCTAGGTCAAAATAGTGTAATTTTAAATTTTTTATGAGGTTAAGTAAGTTTGGGAAATCTCAGTCTAAGTGGAGAGAAGATCTAGGATTTATTTTAAGGAAATAATTAGAGACCTCTGTTGAATTCTTAACATAAAGTAGTAGTATATGAGAACTGCACTTTAATGTTTATAAATAGCTTCAACTATTCTTACATCATAGTGAAAAATTAAGATTCATGTAAATGAAAATAAACAAGGCATTAGTATATAAGATACAGCATATTTATACCATGTAATGTTTGTTATTCATCTAACAAAAATGTTAAAGTGAATATGGATAATCATCAACATGTCTGTATAAGGAAACATTTGGACAAATATATACCAGCTATAAATTTAGATTGCTTTAGGAAGTGGGGTGACATGGTGGATAGATGTAGGGATGGAGGACTTGCAATTCTTTTAACTTTTATAAAAAGGAAAAAAAATCACTAAGGGTAGAAATACTGGACATTATTTGCTAAGCTTCTTTAATGATTACAAATTATATGAAGTACCTGCTTGCGCAAATTAAAATAAATATTAAAGTATTTGAAAGATATTCAAGTCCCATTGGCCAAGAGGAAAAGGTCAGACAATTGAAACCATTAGTTTATGTGTGCACCTAAAAAAAAGGTCTTTAAAGAACTTTACCTAGCAAAAGCTGCCTCACCTCTATTTACAAAGGAAAGGTATGTAGAACACTTTCATTTGAATAACATGTTAGTTTGAAGTGTTTGAGTTTTATTTTTTTTTAAGATTTTATTTATTTATTTGAAAAAGAGAGAGCACAAGAGGTGTGGAAGGGCAGAGGATAGGGAGATGCAGGAAGCCTGACATGGGGCATGATCCCAAGACCCTGAAATCAGGACCCGAGCCAGAGGCAGACACTTAACTGACTAAGCCACCTTGAAGTGTTTAATAGCATTGACGATTGACAGTACCCAGCCTTATCTAGGACAAGTTTCATCTTTTAAGACTCGATTTGTGTTCCCCTCCTTCCTTGAAGCCTTTACTCACTTTCCATATTTCCCTTTATTAAGTATTTTAGAGATGGAGGCCTGTAAGAATCAAACTGATGACATAACTGACATTTTTTGAAGGCATACTTCTGCTTCCCTTATAGCGTCCTTATATATTTTTATCCATTACTTGGGCACTAGCAGTTCACATATTGACTCATTTTTTCCATTAAAAATATTTCTGCAGGGGCAGCCCAGGTGGCTCAGCGGTTTAGCACCACTTTCGGCCCAGGGCGATCCTGGAGACCCGGGATCGAGTCCCACGTCAGGCTCCCTGCATGGAGCTTACTTCTCCTTCTGCCTGTGTCTCTGCCTCTCTCTCTCTCTCTCTCTCTCTCTCTCTCTCTCTCTCTCTCTCTCTCTTTCTCTCTCTCTCTCTGTGTGTGTGTGTGTGTGTGTGTGTCTCATGAATAAATAAAATCTTTAAAAAATAAAAAATAAAAATATTGCTGCATAGTATCATTGATGTGCTTAAATAAATCTCCAATAGGACCATTACTCTGCAGAGTCACATTTAATAGGAGTGATGTTCATATTTGATAACCAGTAAGGCAAGGGCACACACCAGAACTTACCCTAGCTGGGATACTGGAGGCTTCTGCTGTGCTGGGCATTCCCCTTAAGTTGCTGGATTGTGGGGAGATCTGGAATGGTCACTAGAAGGGCTCAGTGCACTAGCTGTTTCCCAACCACTGTGTCAGTAGTTTAATATTTAACAAGTCAGTTCAGCTCTTCAGATGTGTACCATTAAGTGCATCTATTGTATCAGCTCAAATAAAGAGTAGGCTTTGCTCTGTGACATGCCAAACCTAAGAAGCATATAGCAAACCACATGCAAGCCCTGATAAGTCTGGAGCAGATTTACCTCATTAGAAAGAGCACACATTAGGAATTTTTACACTAGGTCTTATTCTATTTTTTTTTATTTTTTATTTTTTTTGGTCTTATTCTATGTTATAAAGATCCTTAATTCAACATAGTATTACTTGTGAACTGTCCTTTACCAAAAACTCTCACTCATTAGACCCGCACAATTGGGTATGTTCCTCTAGTGAGAACTATAGGGATTTTTTGTTGCACTTCATGATCACATCTGAAATGTTCATAAATAGTGCTTAAAAATACTATTATTTTGTCTCTACGTGAGAAATTACCAAACTGTCTTTGAAACTCAGCAGAGTTATCAGGAGCTGTTAGATCATCTTTTATTGCCCCGATTGTTCTGTTACGGCATACACTTGTTTGTTATACTCGTAGTGTAGTGTCGTGTTTTTATTACCTATATGTTTAGTTTTAAGAAATCAACATTATAAACATTTATTTATGTTCCCACTTGATAAAGCTAGAACATTGGCCATTTCATTGAGGAGTTTGGAAATTGTAGATTTAGACCATATAAAATTCATAGGGCTAAACTCCTATTCCTGCTGCTGCTTTAAAGCCTTTCTTCACTGCTCTAGTCTATCCTGATTTTCCATATTGACAAATGCATTAGCATTTAGTATGAATAACAGTTATTTTGCTCTTGTTTACTTGCTTGCTCTTTTCCCCCTCAGTAGAGACTATGTTAGAAATTGCATACTTTCCATGACAATATTAAAACTAAGCACAGAGAAGTCATTTTAGCAACTGCCTGATATATGTTGCACAGAACCTAAGATACTGCCAGAAGATTTCACTATATACAATATTTCTCTCGAAAAGTACAGTTTAACTCTTCAAACTATGCCAGTCTGAGGTGAAGAACACTAGTTGAGCATAAAAGAATATGTTTATGTCATTTCAGGATTTGGTGACATTTGGGGATGTGGCTGTAGATTTCTCTCAAGAGGAGTGGGAATGGCTGAACCCTGGTCAGAGGAATTTGTACAGAAAGGTGATGTTGGAGAACTATAGGAGCCTGGTATCACTGGGTAAGGAGGTTCCCCAGAATTCAGAATCTGCACACAGGGCTGCTTTCCAGTGTTGGGAAAGCCTCTGATGTACTTCAATAAATTTCCCCTTCTTGTGCTCCCCAAAATAGGTTGAGTGTTGTAGAACTGGCAGCTTCATTGGACTATTCATACAACTTCATCTTCCCCATTCTTGAGACTACTTCACCTCTTCCTCTACTCCCTTCTTAATACCCTTGACTTTCTGATGACCAAGTACCTTGATCTGATTTATGGGCCTGGCTAATTCCCTTTTTATTTCTTATAAGCAGGAGTCTCAGTTTCTAAGCCAGATGTGATCTCATTATTGGAACAAGGAAAAGAACCCTGGATGGTGAAGAAGGAAGGGACAAGAGGCCCATGCCCTGGTGAGTGAGAAAGACCTAGGGAGGTAGAAGAGGACATTGCAAGGAAAAACTCAACTATTCTGAGAGGTTCCAGCTTATAATTGATGTTTTGTGGGTAATTTTTCTTAAAGGCTCAAGGCCAGGTAGGAAGCACTGAGGTGCCATTGGCATGAACTCCCTAACTTACTGTCCTTGTATATATTCTCTCACAAATTACTGTCTTCTCTGACAACCTTTTCCTATTCTCTGGGTCCAAGATGTCAGTGTCTGTTTGTTCTTGGTTTTTAGTTTTGCAGGGGTTGCTCCATCATATTTTAAAAAATCTAGACAGCAATGTCAGTTTTTTTTTCCTTTTCAGTCACTCATTCCTTTTAGAGTGAAGGTTTGATTCATTTATTCACTTCTTCTTTTACCAAGATCAGTGAGTTTTTACTTTGACAAAATCATTCTGTTAAATTCTTGAGGTTATTCAGAAGCTTATTAATCATCAAAGAAAGAAGAATTTCCAGTTATTCAAGTCTGGGTAACTGAAAAGTTTAATAGAAATAAGTCAGAAGAATATACTGGTAGGGGGAAAATAGTGCACAAGATGGAGACTTCGGAGTGAGTGAAGAAATGCAGCATGCCACTAGGTGGGGAGAGGCTCAGAAAAAAGTCTGATTTAGAGATGCTAGTATGATTGGATGAGATTGCTTAGTTTTATAGTTTGAGATAAACCCTGGTTATTGGGGCCTTTGTGGGAAAGTCGATCTTTGACAACTTTCTCAGTGTTCTGTCTGGTAAATGATCTCTACAGTTTCTGTCTTGGGTGAAATTTTATAAACTTTAAGTTTTCTAAACAATTATAGTTTCATTTAGTTATCAAATTTATTTTCATAAAGTGAAAGTAAAAGTATGATTTTTTTTATATCTGTACTTTCCAATTTTAATTTAGATAGCTATTTTTTAAATTATTAGGTAAGTTAGTCATTAATTCCATTTTAAAAATCCAGCTTATGGATTTATTAGTGTTACCATTATTCTCTTTTCCAATTCTTTATTTTCTGCTTTTCATTAATTCTATCATTCTAGTTTTAAGTTTTGTTCTCTGGTTTGCTGAAATAAATGCTTAATCTATTCATTTCATTCTCTTATTCACTAAATATTTGAAGGACTGAATTTTCCTCGGAGTATGCCTTCAGCTATCCTCCAAAGATTCTAATATTTAATGTTTTTATTATTGCTTTTTCCTAGATAACCTACTTTTGAAAAATTTATTTTACTTGAGAGTTGTTTAAAAGTATAGTTTTATGCGGGCACCTGGATGGCTCAGTTGGTTAAGCCTCCAACTCTTGATTTTGGCTCAGGTCGTGATCCCAGAGTCCTGAGATTGAGCCCTGAGTTGGGTTCCCCATTCAGCAGGGAGTCTGCATGTCTCTCTCTCTCTCTCTCTCTCTCTCCCCCTCTGCTCTTCCCCCAACACTTGCTCACTTTCTTTCTCTTTCTCTGCAATGAATAAAGAAATCTTAAAAAAAAAAGTTTGGGATTTATTAACATACTATTATATTTGATCAGATAGGAATTAGCATTAATTCTTTGAAAACTTAGAATTTTGTATGGCATAATATGTAGTTGGTGTTTGTAAAATGTTCCATAGGTTCCAAGGTGTAAGTCTTTATTTTCAGTTAAGAGCTTGTTACATGAGTTTTACTTTTTTATTGTTATTAAAGTCTGTCTTATCTTTATTTCCATCTATTTTTTCTTAATAGCTTTATTAAGGAATTATACAGTAAATCAGATCCATGTACATCATAAAATGTGATGAGTTCTGACTTTGTATACACCCATGAATCAAGACATAGAGAATTTCCATCACCCTGAAAGATTGCCTCTGCCTCTTTGCAGTTCATTTTTCTCCACTCCTGGCTCCAAACAATAAATGATCTTTGTCATTTTAGACTGGTTTCCATCTAAACTAAATGGAATCATGTAGTATATATTGTTATGTCTGGCTTATTTTACTCATAGTTTTGAAAACCATACATATTTTTGCATGTATGAATACTTTATGTCTTTTATTGCTGAGCAGTAGTCTATTATGTAAACATATTTTATTTTTCCTTTCATCTGTTCATGCACATTTGGGTTTCTAGGTTTTGGCTATTATAAATAAAGCTGCTCTGAAGCTGTCATTTACAGGACTTTGTATGTGCATGTATGTTTTCATTTCTCTTGGGTAAATACCTAAAAGTACAAAGAGTTCTACAATAGGAATAGGTTTAGCTTAAGAAGCTGCCAGTTTTCCAAAGTAACTGGACCATTTTAATTCCCAATAGCAATGTATAAGACTTCCAATTAACTCCATAACCTCACATCTTTGTCAGTTTTTTACTTTTATTCATTATAATGGTGGTGTATCTCACTGTGGTTTTAATATGCAATTCTCTGATGATGTAATGTTGAACATCTTTTTGTGTGTTTATTCGCCATTCTTTCATGAAGTGTTCAGACCTTTTGCCCATGTTTTTTATTAGGTTGGTTTTCTTGCTATTGAATTGTAAGAGTTCTTTATATAGTCTTCATATAAGTTTTTTTTTTCTTTGCCATTTATATATATTAGGATATACATGTGCCAACTCTGGCCTGTGTTTTGGTTTTTCTGCTACTGTCTTTTGAACATCCAAAGCTTTCGATTTTCGTAAAGTCCAATGAATTTGTCATCTTTGATACCTTTTGTGACATATCTAGGAAATTCTTGCTACTCCTTAAGTCACAAAAATTTTCTTCTGATTTCTCCTATACATTTTGTAGTTTTAGCTTTTACATTTTGGTATATGACCCATTGAGCTAAGTTTTGTGTTTGAGGTTTTAGGTGTCCCCCCCACACACACACATTTGGATATTTCACTTACTCTAGTATCTTTTTTTTTTAAGATTTTTTAAAATTTTTTTTTAATTTATTTTTTATTTTTTATTTTTTATTTATGACAGTCACAGAGAGAGAGAGAGAGGCAGAGACACAGGCAGAGGGAGAAGCAGGCTCCATGCACCGGGAGCCTGACGCGGGACTCGATCCCGGGTCTCCAGGACCGTGCCCTGGGCCAAAGACCGGCGCCAAACCACTGCGCCGCCCAGGGATCCCTAAAATTTTTTTTTAATTATTTATTCATGATAGTCACAGAGAGGGGAGAGAGAGGCAGAGACACAGGCAGAGGGAGAAGCGGGCTCCATGCTGGGAGCCCGACGTGGGACTCAATCCCGGGACTCTGGGATCGTGCCCTGGGCCAAAAGCAGGCGCTAAACCGCTGAGCCACCCAGGGATCCCCTTTTTTTAAGATTTTATTTATTTGAGAGAGTGAGTACATGAGCCAGCAGGGGAAGGAACAGAGGGAGAGGAATAAACAGAGTCCCCAGGGAGCCTCATGTGGAGCTTGATCCTAGGACAGCAGGATCATGATCTGAGCCAAAGGCAGACCCTTAACCAGCTGAGCCACCCAACCACCCCAACTCCAGTATCTTTTCTTGAAAAGACTTAACATTATACCACCTTGTTGGTACCTCTGTACCAAAAGCAGTTGACTTTATCTATATGGGTCTAGTTCTGAACTCTATTGTCACATCAGTCTATATGCCTATCATTTCAACAGTACCAGTCTTGATTACTGTAGCTTTATAGTAACTTTTGATATCAGTTAGTTCAACTTGTAAAATCACTTTAACTACTTAGATCATTTGCATTCTCAAATAAATGTTAGAATGAAGTTGAGAATTTCTACCCAGAAACCTGCTAGGATTTTGATTTGAATTATATGGAATCTATATATACATCAATTTGGGAAGAACAGACATCCAAATTAACGTCAGTTGAATTTAATTCATGAATATGGTTTATTTAGCCATTTATTAGTCTTTTTCTTTTTTTGTAAAGATTTTATTTATTTATTCATGAGAGACAGAGACAGAGAGAGAGAGGCAGAGACACAGGCAGAGGGAGGATAAACAGGCTCTAGGCAGAGAGCCCGATGCAGGACCCAATCCCGGGACTCCAGGATCACGCCCTGGGCCAAAGGCAGGCACTAAACCGCTGAGCCACCCATGGATCGCCTGTAAATTGATTTTTATATTAACTTTGTATCTTACTATCTTATAGGTTTATTTAATAGCTGTTCTAGTACTTCTTTGTAGGTTTCTGAGGATTTTCTGCATAGACCATCATGTTATCTGCAAACAGTTTATTTCCTCCTTTCTGATCTTATAGCTTCTTTTTCTTGACTCAATGCAATAGTAAGGACATCCTCTACAATGCTGAATCAAATGATTAAGAAGAGATACACTTGCTTATTCTCAATATTAAGGGAAAATGTATTCAGTCTTTCACCATTAAGTTGTTTCATAGATGCCCTTTATCAGTTTGATATTTTTCTTTTAAAAATTTTATTTATTCACGAGAGACAGAGAGAGAGAGAGAGAGAGGCAGAGACACAGGCAGAGGGAAAAGCAGGCTCCCACAAGGAGCCCGATGTGGGACTTGATCCTGGATCTTGGGATCAGGACCTGAGCCAAAGGCAGACACTCAACCGCTGAGCCATCCAGGTGTCCCAATATATGATATTTCTATTCCTGGTTTGCTAACAAGTTTTATAATAAATAGATGTTGAATTTAACCAAATACTCTTTATACATATATTGAAATGATTATATGATTTTCCACCTTTAATCTGTTAATGTGGTGGATTACACTGTTTTTCACATATTAAACCAATCTTGAATTCCTGGGATAAGTTCTACTTGGTAATCATGATGCTTTCATAGTTCCTGGACTGGATTTACAGTAATTTTATTAAAGGTTTTACATTCATGTTCATGTATTACATTGGTTTTGTAAAGCATAATAGGAATTTTGGCTTTATTATAAATGTGAGAAACCATTGGAAAGTCTCGAGCAGAATAGATGACTGGTGAATGGAAAGAAGGCAACAAATTAAGACCTGTGGCAGGTTAATAAAAATCAAACAGTTTGATACAAACAAAAAAAATTTTTTTTTTTTTTTAAGTAGGCTCCACACCCTGGAGCCCAGTGTGGGGCTTGAACTTCATGACGCTGAGATCAAGACCTGAGCTGAGATCAGGAGTCAGACACTTAACTGACTGAGCCATCCAGGCACCCCTAATCAAAATTGCTTTTATGTGAAGGCATTTTAGCTTTGGGATCAATTAAAAGTTTACATTTGGTTGGAATATATCACATAGGAAAAGCCTGGCAAGAGACTTTTTTAAAAGTAGGCTGCATGCGCAATGTGGGGCCTAAACTCATGATAAAGAGTCGCATGATCCACTAAGCCAGCCATGTGCCCCCAAAAGACAGTTTTTAGGCTACAAAAGTTTAGCCATAGTTGCATGTACAACCTAAGGCAACCAATATTATCTGGTATATCTTTGGGTATATCATAGGGATCTTATATGGAAGTTTTTAGTCACATTAACATTATGGAATTGGCTTTTTAAAAGATAATGAACTTAGCTTGAATTCAGGATAACCTGAGGCAAGACAGGACAGTTGTTTGGAAACTGTAATATTAGATATAAAATTATTGTTTTTAGATAACTTCTTCAGTTCCTATTTATATCCTAACTCTTAAGTTTTTATTCTTTATAATCCCATACTTTTTAGACTACATCTTACAACTATTAAGTCCCTAACCTTCCTATTTTCAATTTTTGTTTGGAAGTTCTTCTCTTCGGATGAACAAATACAAAAAACCTTTGTTTTCTTGATACCTTTTAGATTGGGAGTATATATTGAAAAGCAATGAATTTTCATCAAAGCAAGTTATTTATGAAGAAACATCCAAAGTAGTGAAAATGGGAAGAAGCCATCTTACTTATAGCCTTGACTGCCCCAGTTTGAGAGAAGACTGTAAAAGTGAGGACTGGCTTAAGAACCAGTTAGGAAGTCAGAAGGTACATTCCAGACAACTGATCATCACTCATAAAGAAACCCTCACTGAAGATCAAAGTAATGAATATACTAAATCTTGGCAAACTTTCCATCAGGATGCAATATTTGATATAAAAAAGACCTGTCCCACCAAAGAAAGAGTACATAAGCATGAACCACAAAAGAGAAGTTACCAGAAAAAATCAGTTGAAATGAAACATAACGTTTATATACAAAAGAAACTTTTGAAATGTAATGAATGTGAGAAAGTTTTCAACCAGAGCTCATCCCTTACTCTTCATCAGAGAATTCATACTGGAGAGAAACCCTATGCATGTGTTGAATGTGGGAAAACATTCAGCCAGAGTGCAAACCTAGCTCAACATAAGAGAATACATACTGGGGAGAAACCTTATGAATGTAAAGAATGTAGGAAAGCCTTCAGCCAGAATGCACACCTTGCTCAACACCAGAGAGTTCATACTGGAGAGAGACCTTATCAGTGTAAAGAATGTAAAAAAGCCTTTAGCCAGATTGCACACCTGGCTCAACATCAGAGAGTTCATACTGGAGAGAGACCTTTTGAATGTATTGAATGTGGAAAAGCCTTCAGTAATGGTTCATTTCTTGCTCAGCATCAGAGAATTCATACAGGAGAGAAACCTTATGTGTGTAATGTATGTGGGAAAGCCTTTAGCCATCGTGGATACCTAATTGTACATCAAAGAATTCATACTGGAGAGAGGCCATATGAATGTAAGGAATGTAGAAAAGCTTTCAGCCAATATGCACACCTGGCTCAACATCAAAGAGTTCATACTGGAGAAAAACCTTATGAATGTAAAGTATGCAGGAAAGCCTTCAGCCAGATTGCATACCTTGATCAACATCAGAGGGTTCATACTGGAGAGAAACCCTATGAGTGTATTGAATGTGGGAAGGCCTTTAGCAATAGTTCATCACTTGCACAACATCAGAGAAGTCATACTGGAGAAAAACCTTATATGTGCAAGGAATGTAGGAAAACATTCAGCCAGAATGCAGGCCTTGCTCAACATAAGCGAATTCATACTGGAGAGAAACCTTATGAATGTAATGTTTGTGGGAAGGCCTTTAGCTATAGTGGATCTCTTACTCTACATCAAAGAATTCATACAGGAGAGAGACCCTATGAATGTAAGGATTGCAGGAAATCTTTCAGGCAGCGTGCCCATCTTGCCCAACATGAGAGAATTCATACTATGGAGTCATTCTTGACTCCTTCCTGTCCTTTACCCTCCATGTCCAGTCAGTTACCAAGACCTGTAGGTTTTATCTCCTAAATATGCCTCAAATCTGATTCCTTTAATCCATTTCCATCCCATCCTCTTTATCCAGTACACAGTATTGGTAGTCCTATTTCAGTATGGACTAAGGAAATACATTTCTGATTGGTCTCCCTGTATTTACCATTTCCTCTGTCAGTTGCCTATGAAGCAGTCAAACTTGTATTTTAAAAGTTTGATAATATCACTTCCTCATTGATACCCTTCATTGGTTCCCCCATAGTTCTTGGGTTGAAGAATATATTTCTCAAAATAGCCTAAAAGACCGCCCTGCCCCAAATTCTTTGGATACGTATCCGGAATTAACTCATATTCCGGAATTAAGAACTCGTATTCTAGCATCAAATAGATCTGGGTTCTAATCCTTGCTCTTTCCATTTTCTAGCCCTCTAGTTTCAGGGAAACATTTTGTTATTTTTAAGGTTCAGTCTTCTTATTTATATTATGGGAATAATAATGGTACTACCTCAAAAGTTGATGGGAGAATTAAATGAAAGAATGCATGTAAATTGCTCACAGTGCCTAGCATAAACTTAATAAATGTTACCATAAAATGAAAAGATACTGTGGTATACAAACAAGACTTGATCATCTCAGCAAGATTCATCTGAGAAGCAGCAGTTCAACACTTAAGAGATTAAAAGATTTCTGATTAGGAACAGTAGTTATTGTTCTAAAGGTGGGTAATAAGTGTATCTAATACAGTAGCATTGATGTTAAAGTCCATAATGATATAGAGTAAGATTATCTTTGTTCGTAAGAAAAACTAACTTCATTAGATACTCAGCAGTTCTAAGCCAGATTTTAAAAATTACTAGTGAGAAGTAGAACTTACTGAGATGTATTCATTTACATTTACACAAAGGCAAAATAGGTATTTTTAAAAAGAAAAAGATCAACCACCAAAGAATAGAAAATATAAGTTTGATGCCCTCTCTTTCATGTGGTTGAACTGTATGAAATCTATGTCGTTTAAAACTGAAAAAGTTGTTAGGCTAGTCCTAATCTGTAATTCCAAAACTACAGGGGAAAAGAAAACTATAGATCAAAACCAAAGAAAACTATTCATAAACTGGAGCCCCACAAACATGTTTGATTTGGTACTCATCAGGTTTAAAATGAATACAAAAAATATATATATCTTTATGTGGATATGTGTTTTCCAGTTATCCAGTTAAAACCACTCCTTCCCTTACATCTGACTTATTTTATGCTTTATGTTACTGCCTGAGTCCTGGAGGCTTTGAATATACAATCAATTCAGTAACCAATTCACATATAAATATAGGTACAAATAAAATAATGAAATGGAGGATAAAAAGGAAGACTTGAATAGACAGTTTATCCTTCTGCAGGGGAAGACTATTCTCAAGATGTTGGAGGCCCAAAATTAATCTGCAGATTTTCTGTACTTAACAAAATCCTAAGAATATTTTTTTTAAGGTTTGAAACATTGTGTGCATGTGAGTATACACACACATACATTCATACAAACACATAAAATACATAAATAAAGGTAATTTGTCACTGGCTTCACAGTATTGGTAAAATTGATTCTGTCCTGTACAAAACCAATTCCTTCATTCTTTTATCCAAATGTGAAAAAATTATTAGAAGACATAATAATATAATTTATAATCACAGAGTGAAAACAATCTTCCTAAACAAGACATGAGATCCAGAAGCCACACAGATTTAGATTCGACTGCATAAGATTTATGCTATATTTTATGCTATACTTTGACTACAGTCAAAGACAACAGTATTGCAGATGATTATTACAACATATATGAAATTCATACCCTTAACATAAAAGTGCTCCTACAAATCACTTAGAAAATGACATTATTCCCATGGGCAAAGGATTTAAAGAGGCAACAGGTGACTGATGAATATGTGATGAATACATATCTCACTAGACTTGGAAGAAATACAAGTTAAATCAATGAACTATCCATCTGTCAATATCAGATTGATACTGATTCCTGCAAAAGCAGGAAAGGAGATACATGTATGAACTGATGTGTGGGAGTATGAATTTGTATAAATTTTCAGAAAGTCAACTTGTCAATATCAGAATTTTCACTGGGGAAACCCAAGATTTTTTTTTTGCACTTAACAGCATACGAATTTATCTTTCTTCCATATCCCATAAAGTAGATAAAACAATGTAAGAGATAACAAGGATCAAAAAGGAGAGGGTCATCAATGGATGAAAAGAATTGAGCAAGTAAAAGACAAAATGGAGGAAAAATGTTCATTCATGAAATGTAGCAGAGGCTGCTTTGACCTGAAATGTTTGAATGACAGGGATTTCAATAAGAGGAACTACTCTGCCCAAATGCTGTGTACAGAGCATCCCTAGACAAGTTAAGGCTTCAAGCTGGTCGTGTATAGAGGCTGGGGAAGGGAAGTTGGAAATAAGGAGAAACAATGACAAGACTATTAAATGCTTTTCTATTTGGAAGCCAACAGCTTCTTCAGTCTACCCTCTTCTGTAAGTAAATGGATAGGATCCTTACATCACACCATCCACAAATAGATCCAGTTAGGGCAGCCCGGGTGGCTCAGCGGTTTAGCGCTGCCTTCAGTCGAGGGCATGATTCTGGAGACCCAGGATTGAGTTCCACGTCGGGCTCCCTGCATGGAGCCTGCTTCTCCTTCTGCCTGTGTCTCTCATGAGTAAATATATAAAACCTTAAAAAAAAAAAAAAAAAAGATCCAGTTAAAGAAAATCCTAAATGTAAAACTAATGAGTAAAAGTATTGTAGTATAGTAGGATATGTTTACTAACTCATGTTGAACATGTTTCTAAAAAAGAAAATGCTCTTAAAATTCAAAACAGGAAGAGAAGGGATCCCTGGGTGGTGCGGCGGTTTAGCGCCTGCCTTTGGCCCAGGGCGCGGTCCTGGAGACCCGGGATCGAATCCCACGTCGGGCTCCTGGTGTGTGGAGCCTGCCTCTCCCTCTGCCTGTGTCTCTGCCTCTCTCTCTCTCTGTGACTATCATAAATAAATTAAAAAAAAAAAAACAGGAAGAGAATATTTGTAACATAATACATAGGGAAAGATGTAAGAACACCTATAAAAAAAGGACACCTAAGCAATTATAAAAATGGACAAAATATGAGAATAGGCAAATCACAGAATACAGATGGTTGATAAATATAAGTCCCTGCTTAACCTCACTTTTATTGAGATGCAAATTTAAATAACGTACCATTAAAGTGATAGCTGTATGGAGCAATGAGTACTCCTCACTCACTTTGGAGGCAATGAAGTTTTTTCACATGTTCAGTATAGTACCTGTGGAGGGCAGTATGGTTAGTACATGAAACGGGAAAAAATCTAAATTTCTATGAGGGATGACTGGAGATATTAGTAGCAGTTGGAAAGAATGGACCGGTGATATTGACTGACATGGATGGATTTGACTAAAGGACATTGAAACAGCATATTCTGCAGATTTGCATGGTATTATATATTTTTAAAACATTTCTGGGCAGCCCTGGTGGCACAGCGGTTTAGCACCGCCTGCAGCCCAGGGCGTGATCCTGGAGACCCTGGATCGAGTCTCGCGTCGGGCTCTCTGCATGGAGCCTGCTTCTCCCTCTGCCTCTCTCTCTGTGTCTCTATGAATAAATAAATAAAATCTTTAAAAAATAAAAAATAACATTTCTAATATATTTAGATAAGTATGCAAATGCTTAGAAAAGGTTCTGGAGAGACACACCCAGAGAAGACCTAGTGTTATCTGTAGTATTTGAAGTTCTAATAATGTAATAATATAAGAAACTATGAAAAAATGAACTTCTGGAAACTTGGGTAGCTAGCATGAGAGATGGTGGCTAAGTCAAAATCTTTTTGGAATTTGGAGAATCTCTGACTTGCCAGCCTTTCCCATGCATACAGAGACCCCAGTAACCCTTCCTCTTCAGGAAAAATCATCTACAGCTTCCTGGGGTAATCAAGCCATATTTTTTAAAGTAATTTTTACACCCAGCATGGGGCTCAAACTCAAAGTTGAGATCAAGAGTAACATGCTCTGCTGACTGAGCCAGCCAGGCACTCCAAGCCATTCTTCTTCTTCTTCTTCTTCTTTTTTTTTTTTTTTAAAGATTTTATTTATTTGTTTGAGACATAGAGAGAGGGAGAGAGGCAGAGACACAGGCAGAGGAACAAGCAGGCTCCATGCAGGGAGCCTGAAGCGGGACTTCATCCCAGGTCTCCAGGATCACACTCTGGGCTGAAGGCAGCGCTAAACCGCTGAGCTACCCGGGCTGCCCATGCCATTATTCTTAAATGCTTACTAGACAGTTAAGGATCGTAACATATGAAGAAAACTATCAGCATAATAAGGACCAAGAGACAGAACTAAACCTACAGTCGAGAAAGTTTCTGTAATGACAGAAGAAAACTAAAAATTTATGTTAGGTTCCAACAGGTAAAAATGGAAAGCTATCAAAAAAGAATTCGATAATAGTGTATACTTGAAATTAATTTTTAAAATATTTCATCCATTTATTCATGAGAGACACAGAGAGAGGCAGAGACATAGGTAGAGGAAAAAGCAGGTTCCCTCCAGGGTGCCCAATGCAGGACTTGATCCCCATCCTGGGACTCTGGGATCACGCCCTGAGCTGAAGACAGACACTCAACCAACCACTGTGCAACCCAGCCGTCCCAAAACTAGTATTTAAATACTGTTAACTATACTGGAAATTAAAATGTTTAAAAATCACTTTTTTAGGGCAGCCTGGGTGGCTTGGCCGTTTGGCACCGCCTTCAGCCCAGGGCATGATCCTGGAGACCTGAGATCGAGACACATGTCAGGCCCCCTGCATGGAGCCTGCTTCTCCCTCCTCCTGTGTTTCTCTGTGTGTCTCTCATGAATAAATGAAATCTTTAAAAAAATGACTTTTTTAAAGAAAAACATGAATACAAAAAAAATTCATGTTTTCTGGAAAGAAAAAAGAGAAGTCAGAACTCCTGAGAATGAAATACTATTGCTGAAATAAACTTAATAAAAGTTTTAAAGAAAACAGAGGAAACTTTACAAGCTCATAAATTAAAAAGAAAATAAGAAACAAAAAAGACATAGAAGTTTAATCAATAGGAATTCCAGAAAAGTTTACATAGAAAATATAAGGGATATATCAAATAAATGATTGAGAATCTTTCTAAACTGAAGCAAGTTATGAATATTCAGCTTAGAACAACTCAGTGTTGGGCAGACTGAACTGGCAAAAACCACAATTACAATGGAAAAGAAGATATCAAGAATTATGCTTGTGAAATTTCAGAATACTGAAGATGAAACCATCCCAAAAAGCTTTTAAAATATGTGAATGTCTCCTAAAAAGAACATTAAAGTTAGTGTTAGTCTTCTCTCCTGTTAGCAATATTAGATAACAGAACATAGAACAGGATCTTCCAAGTTATAAGGTAAAATTACTTTGAATCTGGAAATCTATACCCAAAAGCATGAGGCCAAAGACTGATACTCTGTATATGCAGTTTGCTTCAGTTTACTCTCATTTACCCTTCTCTAGGGTATTAAAGGATTAGGTTTAGTAAAATTTGGATAGAACAGGAAGGCAGTAGCAAGAAAGGCTTCAATAAACAATAGATCTAACCTGAGAAAGTGGTATTGAGGATGA